GTGGCTCACTCGGGAGAGTGTGGTGCTGATAATACCAAGGCCACGGGTTCAGATCCTATATAGGGATGGCCAGGTAGTTCACTGGCTGAGCGTGGTGCTGACAACACCAAGCCAAGGATTAGGATCCCCTTACCAGTCATCTTATAAAAAAAAAAAGAAAAAAAGAAAGAAACCATGGGTATATTTTCACTGCTTTATCTAATTATTTCCCATCTACCCACTAATCAACAGAGGAAAAACTCCACTGCCTTTTGCCATTAAGTATTAGCAGAAAGGATTCAATATGGGGTATTTGTCCCACTACTTTCAAGACTAAGAACAGACTCCAGAGCAAACAGAATGATTAATATGAGTCCTGAACAGAGATGAAGAGATCAGAACCCTGCTTCCAGGAAGGAAAAGTCAAAAACCATTACTTTTCCTCTCTTGTATCTAAAAACTCTTGCTCCTTTGAGGTTTGCACCATCTGGCTCTATCACTCCCTACCCCACTTCCTCATCTGTCATCAACCACCCTCCCGATTAATCCTCTCTCTTCACTGCACCTGGGTCACAATCTTCTGCTCTTGCCCACATCCTATCATCCTAAATCATTTCAATGTCCACATAGAGATGACTCTTTCAATACACTAGCCTCACAGTTCCCTGTCATGCTCAGCTTCTCAGACCTTCACCTCTGCTGTATTTCACTACCCACAGAGACCTAGCTGTCACACAGAACAGCTCCATATCAGACAACTTAACTCCAATATTCCACTTTCTGACCACAACGTCTTCCCACTCCCCAGCTTACTTACACTACATTTGCTCAGTGAACTAATTCAAGAAATCACAAATTCTTCAAGTCCAAAACTGAACTCATCATCTACTGTTTCTTGCCTTAGTTAACATTACCACCATCAACCTAGTCACCCAAGCCAAAACCTGAGCTTCACACTGGATTCCTCACCCTTTCATATGCACATCCAATCAATCATAAAGGCTTACAGATTTTCTCAAACTCATCCCTTTCTCTTCATTCCTATGACATTTAAAAAAATGTTACTTCAGGGGCTGGCCAATTAGCTCAGTTGGTTAGAGCATGGTGCTGTAACACTAAGGTCCAGGGTTCCATCCCTGTACTGACCAGTTGCTTCAGTCACGTCTGATAAAAACCTTTCAGTGATCAAAAAAAAAAAAAAATCACCTATTCCATTAATTTCAAGATACTTATACATACAAAGTCCACCATGACATGGCCTCTGCCTGTATTTCCCACCTCACAACTTACCACTTATATCTTTATTATCACATTATTTATTTTCATTTATTTACTTACTTTTTGCAGCTGGCCAGTGCAGGACCCAAACCCTTGACCTTGACCTTGTTAAACCCTTGACCTTGTTATCAAAACTGTGCTTTAACCAGCTGTGCCAACCAGCCGGCTTCCCTTTATTGTCATATTCTTAACAGTTCCAAACTGCTTGTGTTTCTCTATGCAAGCCATTCCTTTTCTCACGATGATGCCTTTGCTCAAGCTGTTTTCTCTGTTTGAAGCACACTTTCTGGTCATCTTTGTCTAACTTACTTACCATCTAAGATTTAGGTCAGGTGTTATTTCTTCCCAAAGTCTTCCCTCAACTCCTAGGCTAGTCTTAGTGCCCTCATCTTTGAGCAACCACAGCTATGCACAGCTCTCACCTCTAATTCTGGGATGACCTATTTAATCATTTAATTAACCAGCTCTAGACGGATTGGAAATGTATCTTATTCATCTTTGTACACTCAACTAAGCAGAGTACATAGCACAGTGCCTCAAACATAGTTGATACATAAAGTGAAGGTTAGAACATACTAAGTTTTGAAGTTTCAGGGGGATAATGACACCAGTTCTCACGGTTGAGTACTCCCTACCTTCAATTCCAAGTTCTTTGAAGGGAAGGAAACAGAGCCTTTCCTGGATCTGTACAGTTCTGTACAGAGTGGTGCTATATGAATTTTTACTCAACTTACTTACATAAAAAGGAAACAGCATTTGCACAGACATACCAAAAATCAAAACTTGACATATGTGCTACAAACTTCAAAACCACTGACCAACTTAAAAAATGAAGACATAAAAACAAAGACAAAGAACCAATTCTGACTGCTGGCATGTCCTTGTCTGAGTTATAAAAACAGAGAAACTTTGCTTAGAACTTGAACAGGGTCCCAGATATAAAAGCTTGGCATTTTATCTACAAGGCCATCATCAGTTTCTGCTGGGCTTAAAAAATTACCAACCCGCAGTGTTGCTTAGGCAGAGGATTAAGAGGCTGGTAAAAGATCCTTTTTCAAAACGTAACCCATGCACCACCACCAAGGCTAAATGACAAAAAAGCAAGTAAAAAATAATACTGGTAAGTAAGCAATAAAAAGTATCCTTTTTCATTGTAATTTTGGGCCTTCTGCTGGCAGTTAAAAATATAGCAAAGCATTCAATGTTATAAAGCATTTCCCTCTCCAACCAAATCTTAAATTGCAGTTTGGCACCAAACCAGGTCTCCATCATTTTCAGAGAAAAAGATAAGCTCTTCTATTGGCACAGCACTTTACACTTTATACTTTAAAACTCTTCAGTCTGGGGGGTTAGCTCAGTTGGTTAGAGCACAGCCTTGTAACACCAAGGTCAGGGGTCTGGATCCCCATACCAATGGCAGCCAAAAAAAAAAGCCTCTGACACACATTAGCTCATTTGATAAAGAGTTTATAGACATCTTTAATAAGAGGGAAAAATCGAAAATTTCAAAGAAATAGGATCTCTTGTAGTTGGCTTGAGCTTTTTTATGTTTTAAAGTTCAAAACACAGCACAGAAATGAGGAAGGAAAGAGAACACTTTTTATTTAAGTGGGTCAATCCTTGGGGCCAAGGAGCTTCCTGGAGAAACTTACTAGGTTTTGCTCCCTTGCTTACATTAAGAAGCTCTCCTTTAAAGGGTATATACAACTCATCCAGAGAACAGATAGAAGAACCAGCATATGAGAAACTGAAGTAATTGGAATCAGCGAAGACAAAACTCGGGGGACATGATTACCACCTTCAGATACCTTAACGGCTGCCCATATGGGAAAAGAACTAGGAAGGATGGGAGGCAGCTGTTTCTTTCAACCTACAACTAAATCTGTCCAGGAACAGAATGAGTTTACTTGGGAAGAGATTAGCTTCCCATGAGTGGAAGAGGTATCCAGACAGGTTCGTCCAATTACCAGGGTGAAATTTGGGATTTTCAAAGATACTTTGGCATAGGAAGGGAAAAAGAGACCTTAGAAGACTTTTAAATTCTTTTCCAGCCTAGAGATGTTCTGGGGTTCACTAATCTCCCGGAAAGCCCTTTCATTGCTCTCGGGCATGGCCCACAGCTGTGCCCACGTGTCCAGCTCTCCACTTTCCCCCCATCCCCCCGCCCCGGGCCGATTGCTCACTTCGGTGCCCAGCTGCTCCCACCCACTTCTGAGGTTTGAAACCTGCTCTCCCCGCCCGTTTCCGGCAGGGCTCTGGGGCAGGCGGCACACGTGAGTTGTCTCGGCTCAGCTCTCCCCGCTGATGCCCAGCCCGGAGGACCGCTGCTGACAGCTCTGGCTCGCAGGTGCCCCCGACGCTCAGTCGGGCCATGCCACCCGCCAACCTCGGTCCTCACGTGCCCCGAACCGGGAGCCGGCCGGCGAGCACCCACAGGCGTTCCCTCAGCTCTGCCATCTGAGCAGCCCTACTAACCCAACCCGCGCACAGACCGACATCACACCGACTGCCGGCCCCAAGCCAACCCTCCCCGGCCCACCCCAGCCCCGTCGGCCTGGACACAGCGACCCCGCACTGACCGTCCCGCGAGGCAGACCCTCCAGAAGGCCCCTGTCCTTGGGTCTCCCGCGCCGGGCCCCCGGGTCGTCCCTGCCGCGTCAAGGCCGCCGACCGGACACTGGGCCGCACTGGCCCAACAGCAGATGCAGAACGGGCCGCTGGCGCTCGGATCCGGGCTGACACGGCCGGGAAAGGGCCGCGGCCCCGCGCGGACCACACACGGCCAGGCCGACCCGACAGACAGACGGCTCTCGGGCCGGGAGCGGTGGACGCAGCGGCCGCGCAGGTCCCGCCGCCGCCTTCTCGCCCCGACC